CTTTTAATTAAAAGAATAAATTTATAAATTAACAAGCAGTCAATGATTTATAGATATATTTTCTTGTATTGTTTTAAAAAATATGAAATTACTATTTTATCTATTTAATGATGTAATAAAGAGAATATGATCTTTTATTAGAATGAAGGGCGCTGGAAGAAAAATTTGAAAAATTAAAAATTTTTGCCTAATATTTCTTATTAAAATTTTACAATTTAATTTTATTTCCCGTTGGAATTGATTTCAATATCAATGAAGAATATAAAATATCATAATGATAAATTAAAATCAATAGAGAACATTTCTTATATAATAATAAATTTCTGAAATAATGAATTATATTAAAATATTAAAGTAATTTTATTTATAAAAAAAATATCAAAATTATCTCCAAATCTAAATTCTTTTATTTAAATTAAACAAAATTCCTTGCTTTAAAGCTCGCGTTAAAAACGAGCTTTCTACTCTCATTATTATTTTATCAGAATTATCGAAAAAAGAATTACCATTTTAAAATTTCTTAAATCGATTGAGGTAAAAAAAAATTTCCTTTCCTCATCGTCATTAATCTTGGCCACTTTTTTTCTTAATTAAAAAGGAGAGTGACAAACAATAAAAAAAATATATATATATAGTTGCCCTTAATACAACAAGGTTATCCTACAAATCGCAAAAGAGTAATTACTATACGATTAAATGAGTTTAATTAATGTTTTCGAAAGGTGTAGTTATTCCTGACCATCAGATAGCTCGATCACGTGTTCACCGAAATGAAGTTCACACGAAATTCTGTCTTCTATAGATTTCAGAGAATTCGAAGGGAGGTCGCGTAAAATAAATTGAAGAATCGTAGGCGATATCCTCTCGAGAGTTTGAGAAGTAACGAAAAAAAAAAAAAAAAAAAAGAAAGAAAAAGAAAAAAAAAAAAGGAAAGGTCAGTAGATGCTTTAAACGATAAATATGTCTGGAGGTTACCAGAAGGTTAGAGATTATATTAGTGATGTAAGAAACGAGCGACCACGATACATTGCCCTCATATTTTAATCAAATGGAGACGTTACATTAACTTGGACACGTTATATTAAACCCAGAAAAAGAGCTCGAGACGTTGTCTGAATTCTCTTTTATTTAACGAAGAACTTTCACGAAGAAATTTAATTGATAATGGAGATTTGTTGAAAGTCAACAAATTTTCATAATAAATGTATGTTAGATGAATGAATTTTTACACAATATAACTACTTTATCCGCGTGTCTGAAGAATCTGAAAAGGAAAATGAGTTAACTGCAATAGGTGAATACGACTTTTAATACATCAACATTTTATCTACAACATTATAATAACGATTCCCATTTATTTTATCTTATTTATGTTTATTTAAATTAATTATTACATATTTTTTAATCAAATTGTAAATTTAAAAATTGAAAATTGTAATTTTTCTAATACTGGATAGAGATGAATATTTTAAATTAATTTTATCAATTATTTTAACTGTAAATAATATATATATATATATATATAATATAATTATAAAATTATTGTATGGTAATATCTCTTTGTAAATGATAAAATTTATTAGAAAAATTATTTTGTTAACGTTACACGCTAATTTACTCACTTTTAATTACAGAGACTGATTAATCGAATTAAATTCGTTTCTGATTTTCACGCTCGTGGTATGAGTCAGAAAAGAAACAAACATTTTGACACACGAGAGATGTATGATCTTGAAGGAAGTACTCCATTAGGGTAATCAGTCAAACAAGGAATGCGTTGTTCTAATTTAATCTTTCACACGAAATCGTTATGGTTTCGTGATATCTACATAAATGTATTTGCCCAAGGTCAACCATTGCCAACGTAGAAATGTGATTCTACTTCCATGGATAGAATGGTTGCGTGCATTCCCTACAAACATTTTCACCTTTTTCTCTTCTTCTTTATTTTTTGTTTTGCTCTCCAATGAAACTTTCACGCCTGAAAAATATACTCAGTTAACAACTTCGAGCAACATTTGAAAGTAATTTCACGTTTTGCAATTAACAACCTGGTTAAATATTTCATGGTATTTTATATAACGTTAATTAAGGTTATAATATGCTCAACGAGCAATTTTATTATCAATTATTGCTTAATTTATAATTTTACACAAAAAATATGCGAGTAATTATTTTGAAAATGATAAATTTTCGTGGAGTTTGTTATATTTAGATATATGATATATGATATGATATATGATAATTCTGAATTTTGAAGAAAAATTTATCAATTATGCATTTATTCGTCTATATTTATAATGAATAAAAATTCGTTTATACAATCGATGTATTTGTACATCATAATAATATAGTTTTATTAATTTGTATATTTTAGACAATTATTAAAAGCGATTCTTGCAACATGATTCGAATATTTTATCAAGATGAAATAAGAAACTAAATAAAGTCGTCAATACAAATGAAATTGCACGCACAATATTAATAAGTGTATTTTCTTTTATTTAATAACTTTAAAAATAATGAAAAAGATAAAAAATATATCGTGTCACGCATATCATTCATAAAATAAAATATAAATTATAGGTACAATTTTCTGAATAAGAAAACATATTCGTATATTTTAAAAGTTATAATTACAATAAAAAATAAAATAATAATTCGATTTGTCATATATTCAAGCCATGTCACATTATTGGTTTTCGTTAATTACGAACAAAGAATCAAAGAATCAAAAACTCGAATTCATTTATAATCAGCACGTTCACAAATAATTCACAATAACAATAAAAGTGGCACTAATAAAATACACGAAATGTAAGTTGAGAGGCTAAAATGCTGTAATCACGTTATCAGTTAGCAAATAGTATGTATTAGGCACGATTATAGCATTGTACGTAATTTCCAATTGAACAGTTGTTGCACGCACTATACGTAAGTATCAACAGATAGAAATAACAATCGAGCAAATTGCACTTAAGTATCGTTGAATTATTCACAGGAAAGTAGTTTGAATTTTTAACAACTTGATCTTCCAACACGCTGCCATTTCTGTAAACATATCATCAAATGTGTAGTATCTTCCAAAAATGCTTAATACACTGTTATTACGTATCATAGATAAATTTATTGCTACGAATAAACTAGAATTCTACGCTGTAAATCGTTATAACGTAAATAAATAAGTAGATAATCGATAAAAATATTTTTTTCGTCTTTTTAAATATAAAAAATATTTCTTCTCAATGATCAAAATTTAAAGATAATCGAAAATTTGTTTGAATAATTTATCTATCGATAATAAAATAGCAATCTTTAGATTGCGAATTTTTATGCAAATATATTAAACATGTTTCGTACATTTTATATAAATGAAGTAATAATAAATACAGAGTGTTCAAAAAATGAAAAATACAGTGATTCCAAACACAAATTTACACAAATTTAACTTATTCTAATCCTCGATATCATAATCTTGTCCTCCATAGCTCTTAAAAGCCTTGCAATCACGCAAAATAACTAATGAAACTTAAATTTTTCATGAGAAAAAGTAAGAGAAGGAATTAAAAATTTCATCCTTAAAACCCACCAAAAAATATACAAGAAATTTTACCAATGAAATTACTTTTTGTTTCATTCCAATATCTCGATTGGTTACCGAGATACGAGGATTCAAAGTGTTCGTAATGCTTAAGACGGTTATGAATGAGCCCACGACCCACTAACTTATATTATTTCTCTATGTACATTACATGCTTACATTTAAGAATCGTGTGTGTCACTCGTCGTCGTGCCTTGGGATTGGTCAGTTGCGACCAGGTGCGAGCAAGAGGGCGCGAAAACAGTGACGAGGACGGAGATAGTAAACGATTAAAAATTATCCTTTTCTTTACACGATGATATCTCGGGAACCGGAAGTCGTATCGAGATAAAAAAAAATGCGTTTTAAAGAGGAAGGTTCTACGCTTCTAATGATCGTTCACTCGTTGACCGGATGTCACTATGTTCGAAGTTATAGCGGTTCAAAGTTTTTCTAATTTTTAATAAAGTTTGATCAGCTTGAAGGTACATGGTTAAGAATTACTCTTTTCTTCAGAAAATGATATCTCGGGAACCAGAAGTCGTATCAGTGTAAATGAAAATGTGTTTTAAAGAGTAAGGTTCCACGCTTCTAACGATCTCTCATTCGTTGAGAAGAAGTTGTTACTATCTTTGGAGTTATAGCGCTTTTTCCTAATTTTAATGAAGTTTGATCGAATTTTAAGATAAATTATGAGGTGAATATATTTATCTATCAAAATATTTGCTTATAACTATGATTTTATTAATCATTCATTTCATCTTAATTCCAATTTAATTATGCTGAAGGATTATGAGTTTTCTAAAATAAAAGATCTTCAAATTGTAATCTCCTTTTGTTTTTTGTTGAATTTGAAGATTAAATTTTGCTTGCCTATAGAGATACATATTCTCATCAACATTTAATAGTGTCTTCGAATTTTTAAACAACTTACAACTGAACATTCTGTATTTACTTATCACTTATTCAATTAAAAATCAATATGTCTGAATAAAAATTATTCTCTAAATAATAAACAAATATCAAACTGTGTTTCATACAATAATAAATATAAATTGAACACGTTGTATAAAAAATTATTAAATAAAAACGCATACACGTTCAAATTTTAAATGGATCGAACGAGGGAAAGGATTATACAGTCTTCCAAAGTTTTGGAAGAATGCCGAGCGAAGCTCTAAAGCCAATTACCAAAACCGGTGGAAAAGTAGTTCCATTAATAAATGGTCTCGTTTATTAAACAAGCTTCTCCAACCATCGTATTGCATTCGAATGCGATGAATCACGCATCAAGAGTAGAGAATCTTTCATTCAATATTTCATATTCCACAACGTAGACTGGTTTAGGATTATCGGCACCCACGTAGAGTTGTACGATCTTTTTGATGGCAATGACCACCAGTCGTTACGTACGCAACAGGTTTATGGAGAGAGATATCATCTCGTCAGAGAATCGTCCGGTCTGCTTAAACTCTCTAATAATATGAACGAAGTGAGAATGGATTCGCAAGAAACCACGAGCAACGCGGCCGAATCTCCCTCGAACCGCGAATTAAATGTGGTAAGCTATCATTTTACAAATCATCGTTAAGGTTTATCGAAACTTTAATCCATCATGGATTGATTTCTGATACCGGACATGAATCCAATAAATTCTTCTTTTTTACTTTTCTTCATCATTTTATGCTTATATTCTTTCACTAATTTATTTTATTGAAAGAAGAAACTGTCAAAGATTACATTAAATTTATTAGAATAAATAACGAATAAATAATTTTTATCAGAAATAGTATTTATTAGTCAGTGGAAAAATTTAAATGTACTGGAAATGTATGAAGATCTCATAAATGTAACGTACATACAATAAATTCTTTTGTTTTTCTGTCATTGTTAAAATTGTCAAATTAATACATATTCTTTCTTTTACTTTTCATCATTTTATGCTTATTCTTTTCCTAAATATATTTTATTACGTTAAATTTATTATAATTTAATAAATAGCGAACAAATAATTTTTATCAGAAATAATATATTTCGTTACTGGAAAAATTTAAATGTACAAAAAATATATAAATAAAAGTATAAAGTATCCAACTATTTCAATATATTTACAATAATCGTTGTATTGCAAGCAAAAAAGTATCTTAAATATTTTAAAAGAAACCAATACCTTCATTCCTTCTTACCAAAAAAAATCTGTAATACATTCTCAAAATTAAAAATAATCTCAAAACAAAATACTCGCCATTTTATCTATTATTATATTTATACGCATTTTTATCTTCAATCCATCACGGTTGATACCGTAGATATGTTTCGATAAATCCAATAAATTCTTCTGTTTTTCTATCATCACTGAAATTCTTAAATTTCAATGCTTAGTCTTTTTTTCCTAATATATTTTATTGAAAGAAGAAACTCTCAGAGATTACATTAAATTTATTTATACAATTTAATTAAATAACGAATAATTAATTTTTATCAAAAATAGTATTTCGTCACTGGAAAAATTTTAATGTATAAAGGATATATTACGTGTAAAATATTCTATTTATTTCAATATATTTAAAATATATTTTTTCTTGAAAAAAAAAAAAATACTCGCCATTTTATCTATTTATTTTTCACAACTCTGGTGGCGAAAATATGAATTAGCATAAACGTCCAACTATTGTGATCTATTCACCCCTGCACGAGGGATCGGTTTGTCCCACGTTTTACTATCAAGAAAAAAAAAAATCTCTGTATAAATTTTCCCAATGTTTTCACCGAGAATGGGAATATTTCGACGAAGGAGGTGGATAAACAGGCGGAGCTGTTCCTGAAGGGGTGGTTGGCGCTACTGCTTCAGGTCACGCCAATCTAAAATGCCTCGAATGGATGTCGATGGTATGCTATAATCATTCGTGGTACAATCCCATAAAGGGAGGGAAAGCCGGTGGCAGGTACGGTATAAATGTATACCGAATCTTCGAAACGTCGCCGTTTTGTATTATAGGCTCTGATCGATGGGCTCAGGGCCAATATCGACTTATCAGAATTTGAGAACCAGTTGCAGGTTCCAACTTTCCGTTCCCTCTTGTTTTTTTTTTTTTTCTTTCTTTCTTCTTGTTCGAATTGAAAATCGTGGTACGAATAAAAATATATCAGCAGAAAGGGAATATAAGATGGAATTGTAGCAAAATTGAGTGTAAATTTTAATCAAAAGAATTATTGTTCGAATTATTGATTTGAATATTTCCAATCGAAGTCATTGAAAATAGAAGATAAGATTGTATGAGAAAGATTATAATAGAATTATAGAAAAATATATATTGGATCGATATAATTTTCAATGGAAATTATCGAATATTAGGAACAAAAAGTTGGATTATAGAAAATTATATTATAAATTTTAAATGAAAAATTATTCGAATGAATGTCCCTTTACATTATAAATCAACAAATTTCTTAAATATGCGTATTAAAAGTTTTTCCTTTCACCTGAATTAATTCTATTTCAAGTCGTTTAAATTATAAATTCATTGTGACGAATGTTATTTATTTTAATAGCATAGGCAACGCACGAAGATTCGTTAGATTAAATTTCGTCATTCGATTGAAAATATACAATTACAATTACAAATACATTATCACACCGTGCATATCATAAAAATATTTAAATCCCAATATTCATAATACAATCCTTCAATCCTTCCTCTGATCACGATTTTTCGCCGGTTGGCGGGCATTCGCGATAAAAATTGTTATTCCGTAGGTAAAGCCAAATCCTCCATTACCGACCGTGTATCGGGCGAGACCGCAAGGTCCACCTGGATTACCAAGGCACCCTGTAAATAATGGTCCCATAGGACGACCGGGCCACGGGCAGCCTCAAATCCGTTTCGACAATCGATCGGCCCCAACAGGGCCGAGCAATCATCAGTTCGTACAGCTGAGACCGTACCCGGCCCCTCCAAGGCCACCCGGTGCTCCTTACCCCCAGAAACCGGCCCAACATCCGCCCAACATCGTTCCGCGTTTCCCACAATCGCAATTGCAACGTCCACCAAGACCACCGCCCCCCCATCCTGGAAATTATCGAGCGCAAAAGTTCCAAGGAGGCTTGCAACGACCCCAACAACCGAGACAGGAATATCCTCAGCAACGAAGCCAGGATTCGCAGCTGGCGAGATCGCGGGAAATCGCGCAGTTGCAACGAAATGAGTCGTTGTTGAACATTGGCTGCCGACAGAACTTGGAACAGAGGCGGGAAGAGGGGAAACAACAGGTGGCGCGAGCACTGTCGGTCGACAAAATGGCGGACGTGGACAACTCGAAGAAGGTGCAACAGTTCGAGAAGGAGAGAAGCGAATTGAGGGAGAACGACGACGACGACGACGTCGTGATGGACGGGAAGTCGCCCCGAGCTAACGGCGACGTTTCTGACGATTTGATCGAGGCCAAGTTGTTGAGAAGCGACGTCCAGCCGGTGAGGAGACCTGAAACCGCGACGATAAACGGGAAAATGGCCGACAAACCGGATGTGGTCGCGGAGAAGAAGATCGAGAAACGTGTTAAAGATTCGAACGTGGCCGAAAGTGACAACAGATTGTCCGGGAAATTGGACGAGGAAACGCATAAAAGATCGCTGGATAAGGAAGACGTTGATAATCAGATGGACGAGCCGGAAAGGAAGTTGCTGAAAGACCAAAATGAAAAGGAGAACTCGAATAAGGAAAATTTCGACGCGAGGCCAATGATCGATGCGAATCCAGTCGACAAAGATCGAGTCGGGAATTCGATTGAAAAGGATGAACACGACACGAAATTGACGACACAGGTTCATGCGAATTCCTCGTCCACTCTGGACGTCAAAGATCGGATCGAGAAGGAGAGCGGCTTGAGCAAGGAAAGCGGCACCAAAGTGACGATACAAGCTGATATGCATTCTTCATCCGTTTCGTTTGTCAAAGATCAAATGGAGAAAGAGAAGAGTTCGAATAAGAAGGGTGACGAGAAAACACAGATTGACGCGAATTCCGTTCCACCTGTCGAAGAAAATTTAAATAAGGAAAGTAAGGACACGAAAGTGACGACACGAGCTGATACGCATCCCATTCCAGCTGTCGTGGAAGACAAGGTTAGTGCGTCTGTCGAAAAATCTGCTAGCGAAGAAAAGAAGCAGACTTCACCAGAAAAATCGACGAAACCAGGCGAGGATAATAGTCAACAGACGCAAGCTTTATCCAAGCCAAGTCCTGACAAATCTCCAATGAAACAGGAGGATTGAACACGTCTGCATCTCTCGATAAATCGAGTCAAAACGAGGAAGAAACGAAAAAACCTGGGGAACAATCGAAAGAGGAATCGACGAAGGTGCAGAAGAGCAGAGAGGAGCTGAAGACGCCACAAAGCGATTCGCGCGCAACTACGCCAAAGAACGAGGAATCGAAGGAGGATCGAAAGATGGAGAAGGAGAAGGAGCCAGAGGAGAAAATCGATTCGAAGCCAGAAATTGAATCAGAAATGAAGTCAGAGGATGCGTCGAAGGATAAAGACGAAGAGGAATCGAAAGCATCCAAGGACAGGTCGATGGAGACGAGCAAGGAGGAGGCAGAGAGCAAAGAAGTGCCTAAGTCTTGGGGAAAATCGTTGGATCCTGTTCATTCTCCAAAGGAGAAAGAATCGAGCGATCCATCTGCGAATTTGGTCGAAGAAAATGTCTTGAAAAATTCTGACAAAGAATCTTTGGAACAGAAAAGTGTCGCTGCGAGTCGTCCTGCTTCTGGAAGCAAGGAAGCAAGCGAGACGAAAGCTCCGCTATTATCAGAGGATCGAGAGGAGGTTGCAGAATCAACATCGTCGCCTTCAAAGTCTCCCGAGGAAGGTACGAAGAGTTTCGACAATGGGCAGCAGAGGTCGTTGTCGATAAAATCTTCGCCGAGTCAAAGTCTTCGGTCGCCTGTCTCCCCCAAATCGCCTATCGACGACAAGAAACTGAAGGAAGGAGAGGTGAAAACTGAGGGGGGAAAGGATGAGGCTAAAACGACACCTGAAACGAAAAGTTTGTCGAAATCGGCTACGCCTAAACGCGCGCCCACGTCTGGTAAACAGGATAAGAAATCGAGAAAGAAGTCTTCTACGACACCAGGTTTTTATCCCTTTCACACGTTTGCAACTAGATTGGAAATTAAAGATTGTTTTGTACAGTGAGTCGTAAAGGTCTTTGTATATTTCGCCTAAACCTCGAAATTCTAATTTTAATGAAAGTTTGCATGTTTATGAAGCATTGTAGAAGGTGTTGGTATATATTTGTGGGATATTCTTTGAAGAAGATCGATTCCAGAGACCAAAATAAACATGAAAGTTGGTATATAAAAATATTGGCTGACGCTTATTTTATTAAGTTGCGAGCAATTTAAGCTTAGCGTTGGACGGAGCAAGACGTAAGATAGAACGAAACGGCGGTGCGACGGAGATAAATAGTTCCAAGCTAATTTTCTTCCATCTTGCTTCATCTGGATACTTAAATTGTACACTTTTGGATTTATTTTGACTTTTAAAAGATATTTTTACGAATATATTGATAAGGAAGGGATGTTATAAATATTTTTATAAGATAGAATTTTGCCTTGAGATATTTTTTACAATAGCATGGTAGAGTACTAAAACTTATTTGCATATTTAAAATTTTATCTTATATTGTTACAAAGTTATATTTTAAAAAAACGATTTTGATTTTGTTTTTTCGAAATGGTATTAATTGTTAAAAAAATATTGTTTCATATGCATATGTACAACCTATTTATAATGCAATTTATAGTGTAAAACTTTCATTGAAAATTGAATTTTCATTGCTTTGATAACACAAGTATTAATTAGATTATTCTTTTAGTTTCAAATTTTTAAAGGATATATTTACGATCGATTACACAAAGTCATATGTAATACATCTCGATGGAATTCTTTTTGTAAAAAGCTTTACATAATCTGAAAATACATGAAAAAAATTAATCTGTATTCCATTAACAATATAATTTATTTATCTTCAAAAAGATATTTGGAATCATTATTTCAATTATTTCTGACATTTTTATATAATATATGACAAAAATCAATTTTGAATTGGCTTTTTATAAATTTGTATTTTTGTGCAAATATCAATAAATATGAAGCATTTATGCATATAAATATGCTTGAAAAATGCAAAAATCCTAATATATTTCACTCTATCATCTGATCTCAACTAGATCAATTGTATTATCAAAAAATAGAAAAGATTGAATTTATTATTTATTAAATAAAAATATATATCAATTTTAAATGTGCATTAAAGATCTTTTAAACTATATTAGATATACTTTCGAATTATATATAGGAATTTTTCTATAAAAGAAATTAGAATATACATATCTTTAAGTTTGTATTGTACTAGGTGCAAACGTGTTAGGTAGATTTCAAGAGAAAATAAGGAATTAAAAATGAACGTGTTAAAAAAATAAAATAATAACATTACGAGAAAATAAATTTGAAAAATGGAAAGCTGAGATTTTGCTTCACAAATGCAACGATGTAACATTATATTAATGCATAATTGTTTTAATGCAACAAAAGAATTATGTCATCTCCGTTTCTGTTTTTGCAGAAGTAGAAAACGGCAGTGTAACAAACGAATCGGTTCAATCCAATGCGGTAAATATTTTTATTTTTATATGCTTTTAACGTACATCTTGAAAAACGATAAGATAGATAATTTTCAATAATTTTCACAGGAACCAACGACGAATGGAGTTGAGGATTCACCGACGAAAAAGTCACCCTCTAAGACGAAGGAAGCCGATAAAAGATCGACAGCTGGATCACCTGTAAAATCGCCAAGTAAGTCCGTCAAATCGTTGCCAAGAACTCCAGATACTCCTTCGTCGACAACTGCTTTGGAGAAGAAAAGTAAGTAAAATCAAAACCTTCTTTGGAATTTTTTTTTCAAATTTTTGTTTCATATATGATTAGCTTTGTGTTAAATATATTTTTATTTTAGATTTTACACGTGGAATTTAATCTCTTTATGTTTGAAAGAATTTTTGAAAAATCTGAAACAATACAAAGTTAATAATCATATAAGTTGTGATATTTATTAAAAGTATAAAAATAATTATTATTATAAGAAAATTGATTTTTCTAGAATTTTCAAATTTTTTAAAATTCTAAATAGGCTAAAAAATTTGTAAAAAAAGTGTTGAACGTATTATATTGTGTAATTTAGCTATAGGACTGAATTTCTTTTATGTGATAGATAATATTAAGAAACAATTCAAATTTGCAAAACTTATTAAATTTAAATTACAAATAATATATTCTATGTTATTATTTTGTTTTTACTTTAATATATTATTTTCTTTTAAGAAATTTCAAAAGAATTTTTGGAAATTTAAATTATTAATGTACCCAATATTATTCAAAAAATTCTCATATTTCAAAAGATTTCATATTTCTGGTTTTCATTGAAAAATATTAAATCGAAAAATTTTTTTAATATCTTTACGTACAAAATTTGTAATTTTTTATTCTGTAAATTCTTAAAGCAACGTATATTAATTTTTGATTTAAAATAAATATCAAACAAATTAAAAATTTTATTTTTCAGTTGTAAATTTCATTTCATTAGTGTTTAAATGAAACTTATTTATGCAATTCTTATTCAAATATCAGGTAAGTGGAAAAGTATAATAACAAATAATGTTTTATCCATAAATGATTACATTCCCAATTAATAACCTAATTAATAATAATTAATTACAATTACTTAAATAGTTATTTAAACAAATTTTTTTATTGGCATTTATTTCTGACATGAGGATATATTTTTATATAGATATTTATAAAATTTTGTATACAAACTTATTATTAATTTAATATTTGGTGAAGTACAGAAATTATCATAAAATAAAAATAAATATATATTTACAGAATTATGTAAATTATATAATTATATACTTTTCTATATAAAAAAATTATTAACTTTTTTATTGTATATATTATATATATTCAAAACAGATAAATTTAAATGTAAATTAAAATAAATTTAAATAATTATCTCTATAAACAAATTATTGTTTCCATGCTATTCTCTGTCATTTAAAAATATTTAACACATTGTCCATTATCTATCCGTTACTTTTAATTGTCACACTTCTTAGCTTGTTGCAGTCATAATTTTTTCTTAATTTTTATACAGAACTGCCTATGAACAAAATTCAAGTAGGATCGGCGCCTTCTCCAAATCTGAAAACAGTACGATCGAAAATCGGCTCGTTGGAAAACGCAAGTTACAAACCAGGTGGTGGAAAGGTGAAAATAGAGAACAGAAAGCTCGACTTCAGTAAAGCGCAACCGAAAATCGCCGCGAAAAATGAGAAATATACACCCAGTGGTGGCGATAAAAAGGTTAATTTTTTTTAATCTTTTCAATCGTTTATTAACTTTTTCTTCATTTTTTTTTTATACAATAGAAGCAACAGAAATTAATTTTACTTCTTTAATATTTAGTAAAATATTGATTTGTTATATCAAAATTCAGAAAAATATTAGATGATGAAAAATAATTAAAGATAAATGGCTTTTCAATTTTATAATAATGTTACTATAGATTCTTTTTAAAAAGCTTTACTTCATCATTAACAAAAAACATTTCAATGAAGAAATCTCGAAAAGTCTTTTTTTTAATTATTTTATAGAAATAATAAAAATATAAAAATTTTTTCACTTAATATTCAAAATTTACCAAGTTATATTAGATTATATTGATATTTGATTTAGATTATGTTAATTAAATATTATTAGGTTTTTATAAACTTATATTTGAATGTTCTAGGAGAGAAATATAAATATTCAATGATTAAATTAAACATTTAAAACATCACTTTAAATCAAAAAGTATTATTTTTTTTATAAAAAATGAATTTTATAAAATTAACTTAATAATTTCAAGCTCCTCCAAGATTAATTTTTTTTTTTTTTAATGATATATTAAAGTTTTCAAGAAAAAATTGGAACAATATTGTCAATATTTGAAAAAAATCACTAAACTAAACAATTACTAAATATTATAAACAAATCTATAATATTAAAAATGTAATATGTGCAACATAATTGAATTTTTTATTAAGTAAAATTATTTTACAGTACAATATGTATAATGAGTAACAAATACTTTATTTTCTTAAATTTAATTAAATTGATTTATTTAATTGATTTACAATTATTAAAGTAAAGTTAGATTTTATCCATTGATTCGAATAGTACAGTAATTTAAATAATAAATAAATAGCATTGTATGAAAATTATATTTTCGAAAATTACTTACAGATCGCCCAGATTAAGCTTCAATGGAATGCAAAACCAAAAGTCGGATCATTGGAAAATGCAACGTACAAACCTGGTGGTGGAGACAAAAAAATAGAGACAGTGAAACTTGATTTCAAGGATAAAGCAAAACCGAAAGTAGGCTCGAAGGAAAATGCCAAACACATTCCTGGCGGTGGTAGCATTAAAGTAAGAGTTATGTTTTTATAATAGAGATAAGAAATATATTTTTTTAACTGGGAATGCCGAATACTTTTAGAAGCATAGAAAAATTCAGTAAATCTTTTCATCTGCATTTGAAAAGTAATTCGATCAATGTTTTTTATCTTATTAGATATTTATTTATAATTTGTAATATTATCTTATTCTATATTATTCTATGAATTTATTTCTAGTCATTATTTATTTTAATTGAAAAATATAAATTTTGAGTCATTTAAAATAAGCACTCAAAATATCCTTTTTTTAAAAATTCAAGATAATAGAACCAATTAAATCAAATTAATAAGGTTTCAAATTTTTTATTTTTGCAATTAAAAAAAATGTCTATGTATTTTTCACAAAATTAATATTAGTTTTTATTCAGATAGAAACATAATTACATGTATTCAATTATTTTCATAACAGTACTTTAATTTTTATGTACAATACATATATTTAGATTCATATTATAATTTTAATATTACAATAAAAAGATTCAAATACAATTAAAAATAATATAAAATTTTCATAACATAAATTTTCATCATAAGTACCCTCCATATTATATAATAATATTACATAATAATTAATAATTTTTACTAATTAATTTTCATAAATTCGAAGAAAATAATTGTTTTAATCATGCGTTTATGTTTTTTTTTCATCTTCATAATTAAACATTAACAGAAGCTACAATGAAAACGAATGTATTAGTAAATTTAAATGTGCTTTTTCAAATTTTCGGACCATTATCATCATATGGTTCATATTTTTATCATTATATTTGACGTTTGACGTTACCTGTTTGTAGTGTTTGTCATTATTGTAGTAATGAATCTAATTAAATGCTTGCTTTCCATTCCAACATTTTTATTTATTTGTAATAAAATTAGTAACATAGCGCTTATTTCGTATATGCCAGGAGGATGACATTTTCGAACCAAAAAAAAAAAAAATTATTTATTTCTATTTTTATTGAATCGTTGCATGTAGAATGATAACATGGATTTCTATTTAAGTTACAAATTTTATTATTATTTTAAAAATTATTTATTTTTAAAATTTGCAAAAAGAAACAAGAATTCTGGTATCAAGAAAAAAGAATTATATACATATATGTATATAAATTATAAGAATTAATTGTAATCGGTTAATCAAATATTAAAAATTAGTTGTAGAAAGAAAAAGTCTCATTAAACAAAAATTTATCTTAAAAAAAAAAAACTATAAAAACTATCACAGAATTTGATTTATAATTTTCAAGAATTTATAATAATAAAATTTCACTGATAAAAAATTTTACTATCAAAAGAAAATTTAGCATAAAAAGAATCACAGAATTTAGTTTACAATTTTCAATAATTAATCTCACTGAATAAAAATTATCATTGAGAAAAAAAATTTAATTTTTTTTAAGGAAAATTTGCCAAAGAATTTTTTATTTATATGATTTTTATCAAACAATATCATTACTATTTTTATTTCAATTTCTTCAAAAAAAAAAGAAAAAAGTTTATCTAAAATAATTATTATCAAATCTCACGTTAATTCGTTTATCTTGATGCAAAGAAATCTTGAATATAATAATAAAATATCTCTTTTAAATGTGGAGTTTTGGATTCGTTGACCAGCAGTAAAAATATACCACCCTCTAGCATACGACTGCCCTTCGTTGTCGCATGTATTTTCACCCATCATTATTAACAAGTCATTATTGTTTGTTGGTATTCAGTCATCGGCAACACCACCTAAGACGCCACAGGATACGAACAACGACGTGAGTATACCTCTAATAATTTCACCACATCACATCTTAGTTGTCATTATCCTATTTTCATTTAATTAGCCATCGACACATTGCATCGACATTAAAGCGAAACCTACCCAATCTGGAAAATTATAAAGGGAGTAAATCAATCGATTTTAAACAAATAACGTCGTGCTCATTTCTGATTATATAATATTTGTCGCTTTTATGTATTACTGAAAATATAAAGCAAGTTTGCCATACTTGAACGTTAGGGTGGAACGAAATTTAAAGACAAAATTCTTTTTCTGCTTCTTATGATCTTCAATATCGAATAAAAATTTATATAATAAATGTTTTAATCTTAAAATTTGAAAAATAAATTTTTTATACAGAGATATCTATATAAAACTCTTTTATATATTTTTTATAGTAACTTACAATAACAATAACTTTCTGTTTTTTTTTTCAATAAATTATTATGTAAAAATAATCTTAGAAATTCGAATTAGATTTGGAATAAATGAAATAAAATTATCATTTTACGAGTATTCTCAATTTTCTCATTTATATTGAAAACATCACATTACATATTCATTTTAAAATAATAAATAAAGTTACAATTTAAGACTAAAGAGAAAATATTATAATCAATAATATATTACAATAATGGTAAAAATAATAAAAAAATATATTTAAAAAAGAAGTAAAAATTAAAACTTCGAATTCCTTATATCATCTTCAAAATTAATTTTATAGAAATTATCTTTTAATTAAATTATGGAAAATTAGAGGCAAGCTTTTTCTTATCAAGAATAATCATGCATTATTTATTTTTTCATTCCACCCTTTAAACGTATTATTTTTTTCAGCAGTAAGTAAATTCAGTTTGAAGAGAGATTAAAGCATGTTTTTGCATGTTTTAAGATTAGTATAAATGTTCATTGCAGAAGTCAAATCAAATAGTTTAGAAAGCACGTTGCGAAAAACTTTGAAATTTGAACCTAAATTTTTATCTATGGATAAAATATCCGTATAAATCTCTAAAAAAATCAATATTGTTTTTTAATCTAAATTTTCTAGAAATTAATATTTATATGAATATTTATATGAAAATTTCTACAAATTTTTCAAAAAAAAAAAAATGACATTTTAATTTATAAATTTTCTAAAAATGAATTCTCTGGGAATCTTCATAATATCTTCATTCAATTTTAAAAAAAAAATAATATTTCTACAAATATCTTATACGTGCATTTAATTAATCACAGCTTATCGACAAATTATTATCACCACCTAATCATCTATTCACGATTTCTCATAGCAAAAATAAAATAATAACGAATGTTCCAATGTTCTTTCAGATTCAGACACAAAAAATTGACATCAAAGCTGAGAGTAAAATTGGCTCCTTAGACAATGTGAAGCATAAGCCAGGAGGTGGCGATAAGAAAATCTTCAACGATAAAGAATACCTTCGACAAACTGGTACCAATCCTGAAAGCCTTTGTGGCAGTGGATCACAGGTACGTTTCAAGTTTTTTAAATCTCGAGAATCGCACAAATATATTTAATTGTTATTCATAGTTTTAAATAAAATACAATAGTCGTAATTTTTTATCAAAATTATTAATGTTGTCAAAAGATTCGTTTAAATTTTCGTTAAAATTGTCTGTCTCGACTTTTAATAACATTTATTTCGAAATTTCGAATTTTTCTTTCTCGAGATTCTTCGTCGTATCACGTTTGTTTGCACCATTTATCACGAAAAAAAAGGCTTAACACGCGTCGCATGCTTCTCTGCAATTTTTTTTATTTAACTTTCGTAATTTTACACTTTGTGACAAAGAATTATTACCGAAATAGTGTTCTAGCCTTTGCTTCAAATTTCAATTCTACATTTTTTTTATAACGGTGAAATAAATTAAATTTCAATTATTTTTATATATTTGTATGTTTTCTTTTATATCAATTTTATATCAATTTCAAAAAAAATTGTTTTTAAATTAGTAGAATTATCTTTTAAAAGAAAATTATTTTTTGTACGATAAGATATGGATGATCAAAAAAAATTTAATGTATAAAAATTAGAATAAATAATTATAATGGTTGCCTAACCCTTTGAAGCATATTTTTGATTGATTCTGTACTACTTTTGCTTCTTTTTGTAAGAAGTACATATTTTCTGTTGCCAATATTGTTTAAGGGAACAAGTAAAGAATAAATATAAATAAAAATAATTATAATAAATAAAAACAACTGCATTGTTTTATTTATTTATATATATTTAAACATAAAATTATGTCAATTTTAAATTATTTTTGCTTGGAAGCAAATAAAAATAGAAATCTAGTAAATAATAAATATATCATTAAATAAATATGAATGGATTTGTTATTAAAAATATAGTTAATTAGTCAATTTATCACATAGCTTTTACTAGAACACCTCTTTTTAATTATTTAAATATATGTTTCAAAAATTAAATCTTTTATAATTTTTTCATCAAATAAATTAATAATCAGCTTGCATGCATTTATAAAATTTACTTGCAAAATTTTTAAAAATTTGCTAATAATATCATATTCTATTTTAATGTCAATTTTATAAAAATGTGTATTTGTAAAAAATCTTCAATTTAATGATTGATTATTATTTTTCTATTATTTAATCCAGATAATATATTTGATAATATCTTCTAAAGATCTCTTAAGAATTTTTTAAACATTTTATCTTATTAAATTTTAAAAAAGAGTTTTCATTTCAAGAGTTTACAGTAAATACTTTCAAATTATTTATTAATATCTATAACGATTCAAAAATATTTATTAATTTTTTTTATCATATTTTATATTTTATTTTCATAATCAAATTTTTTTTATGAAAATGCTGAAATATTATGAAATTTAACATATTTAGACTTAATTAATTGTTATATCAAATATCGAAATAGATTTCGTGATGTACAAATACTTACAATTTTGTATTTATTAAAAAACAAAAATTATTGGAAAATTATCATTGAAAAAAAAACATCAGAGTAATTATAAATTATGAAAATATATCAGAAGTAATTATATCAAAAACATGTTGTGAAATCGAAATTTTCATTTGAATATTTTCATTTGAATATTTTACATAAAACATCTTTAAAATATTAATAAAATTCTCGAAACATTGAAATCTTTAGAAACTTTTGAACTTAAATAAATAATAATTGATATAGATAATTGAATTTTATATTAGATATAATTTTATAATTGATATAATTTCATTCAAAAACAACCTTCAATTTTTATAATTAATTAGTTAAATTATCAATAATAATTTTTTTATAATTCTTGTAATAAACATATAACAAAAATTACAAAATTACTATATCATATAAATGATCATTATTTTATAAATTATTTGTTTATTATGAGTTAAGTTTAAAGAAATTTTCAGAAATGAAAATTTGTCGAGATATTAATTCTTGAGAAAATTTCCTTCCAAAATGAAAAGAAAGAAAAAAATACTCAACACTTCATAAAGTTTCGAATTCGAATTTCAATCCATCTCGCTTTAAAATAATCGAATCATCTTTAAACACAGTGGGTCAGAAAAACGATTACTCGACACCCTTAATACAATATTGACCCACTTCAATACGCAGAATCCATAAATAGCCCGCGACAAGTCATCATGGAAGCATATTACGTTCCCAGAAATATCAAAAAATAGAATTCAAATAAAATGCTTCAAAGGTTTAACGTGACCCGAATTAAGAATGAGCTAGCGATCTAGCGAGATTCCAAACATGGAGGTTAATGGGGCCACCTTAATCCTGTGTGTTGTGCCCGCAGAGCCCTGTGCCCCCTGGCACGGTCGCCGCCGGCAAGAACGGTCTGCCTACGTCGGACGAGAACCTGAACCAGGAATGCTAGATTACGAAAACACAACCGCTAGACCCGTTTTCCTTGTCATTTGCGTCTGATTATAATCATCCGTAATCTTTCTTCCTTCCCCGATCGTCGAATCGAAGGCCGATATTTATTCCGTAATGGATTTCAACACACTCGGCGCATTACGTTACGTTACACATATATCGAGAAACGAAACAAGCGTTCGAATTCAATTTTTCGAAGCGTCGCAGGCTTTTCCATCGTATTCGTCGATCTATCGATACATAGATCTCGAGCTGCTCGATTTGTGACCGTCACGATCGTTTCGTGTGCCAGCGATCACTTAGAGGTTTTTTTTACGTGCCATACACAAGGGAACACACGTTTAATCGATGAGTGCGAATGGCGTAAAGAAGTAGAAGCATTTATTCCTCTTCCGCCATGTGTTCTTACTCGATCGATACACGAGGTGTGTGTGTGTGTGTATGTGTGTATACCTATCCAGCGTGTAACACAACGATCAGAGTGATTCTTTTTTCTCCATCCTATTGACGCATTTATCCGGAGACACACACATACAGCGACACCTTTTTCAGATTGAAAAAATGTGTTTTAAAGAAAAAGACTTTTCATACGATAATATATAACCATAATATATAATTGTCACAGCGTGATTATTATATCGGAACGATTTATCACGTTATCATCTGAATCTATGAATTTTTATAAATGATAAAGTAATGCGTTGTAATAATGTTTCTCAATCTTTCGTCACGTAAGTCACATATATTATTTGTTTGTGTGAATTATATTTAAAATATACAGAATAGAATACAGAATAGAATCTCGTTTATACGAGAAAACTCATAGGTTCTATTATCTGATCTGCAGTCAAAAGTGAGGTTAAATGTCTAATAATCTTTTTAGATTTCTTGATTCAAAAAATAAATTTTTTAAGTTGTCATTTTTATAAAATAGTTAATACTTAACTGTTTGTATTAATAATCTAAGGATTGAAATAAATTATAGTACACTTTTCCTTTCATATTTTAATAAATCATATGTTACAAGCATCTAAATCAGAATTGTGTGTTTGTTTTATTTGAAATCTTTAAATGTTATGCTAAATTGAAAATAAGAAAAAACAGTTATTACATTAATTTAATCTCTATTATCTAAATTAATATAAAAAGATGATAAAAATGCTAGATCTTTATTA